CGCCGTCTGTAGCTGCTCCCTCCAATTCCTTCGTATTCATTGACACTAACTCTTTCTCCAAAGTATATATAAATTTTATTTCAGTAATATATATACCTACTCGTAGTTGTATGTATATCTATATATCTTCTTTGATTGGTGTATCTATTTGAGCGTTATTGTAAGTTATTATAATATCTGAATGCTATTATTACTTTGAATTGGTTTGATTGTTTGAATGGAAACTCATGGTATTTTCTCCTGATTACAATGTAAAATCTACCTGTCCTCCCTTAACTCAAATTTACTGGGTTGGTATATACAAAACATGGCATTTCTTTTCGGATTTGGGGATATTTTTTTTTAATTTATTGGATCATCCATGGTGTCAAACATTTTTTCACTTCTTGTAGCAAATCAGCTTTCTTTTCTGGTTGGGTAATTGATTTTAGAGTCTTTCTCGAGGCCATAATTTGGGTAAATGTAAATTCAATTGCTTTTTTGAAATCTTGATGCTGTTTTTTCAATCTATATGTTGATAACTGTGGTGATCTTTTCATTTTTTGAAATTATCCTCGTTATGGGTGGCTTATTTGGTCGTAAAATTGATCTACTACCCTTAGGGTAGATAACTAGGCCATATGGGTTGTGGTATGTATATATAATGCAAAAAGTACCCCTTAGGACCTAGCAGTGCCATTTGCTTCATTAGTTGATGTAGATTACTTGTAAAATTAGTGCTATTGCTATGACATTAACTGTAATTGAATGTATATTATTTAAACATGGCTAAATAGTTATCATTTTGTGTTCCACATTTTCCCCAGAAATGTGTACATAACTTCTAAATCATTCCTTTTTTAAATTTTATTCTAGCCGAGTTAATGATAACTTCCATTGCTTTAATCTGGTTGTTTTCTTGCAGGATGGTCGAAAGATTCATGTTGGTGACTGTGCTCTGTTCAAGCCCTCCCACAATTCCCTTCCATTTGTTGGAATAATTCGTAGATTAATAGTAGGAAAAGAGAACAATTTAAGTCTGACTGTGAATTGGCTTTACCGGCCTGCAGACGTAAAGCTTGAGAAAGGTGATTCGCTGGAAGCAGCACCAAACGAGGTCTTCTACTCGTTTCACAAGGATGAGATACCTGCTGCATCGTTACTCCATCCGTGTAAAGTCACATTCCTTCATAAAGTTGTTGAACTTCCTTCAGGGATATCCTCATTTGTGTGCAGACGAGTGTATGATATTGAGAGCAAGCGTTTATGGTGGTTAACAGATCAAGACTACATTAACGTGAGTATATTTGTTCAGTTTTTTTTTTGTTCATATCACCCTTATCTGTTGAAAATTATCTTGATTGGATATGTAGTCTTATTTGACACAGGAACGACAAGAAGAAGTAGACCAGTTATTAGATAAGACAAAGATAGAAATGTATGGAGCAGTGCAGAGTGGAGGTCGATCTCCAAAACCTTTGAATGGTCCAAATGGGACAGCACAATTAAAACCTAGTTCAGATAATGTACAGAATAGTTCGTCCTCTATTTCGTCACATGCGAAAAGTAAAAAGAGAGAACATAGCGTTCACAATTCAGACTCTGTCAAGCGTGAGCGCTTATCTAAAGTAGATGATGCAGATTCTGGTCAACTTAGATCAGAACACATAATAAAGACCGAGATTGCTAAGATTACCGATAAAGGAGGATTGGTAGATTTTGGAGGGGTTGAAAAACTAATACAGCTCATGCGACCTGAGAGTGCCGAGAAAAAACTGGACTTGGCTTGCCGAGCAATGCTTGTTGATGTAATATCGGGTACTGAAAGGTTTGATTGCCTAGGTCGGTTTGTTCAGCTGAGGGGATTATCTGTTTTGGATGAATGGCTTCAAGAGATTCACAAGGGGAAGATTGGTGATGGTAGTCCCAAAGAGAATGATAAATCTGTTGAGGAATTTCTTTTCTCTTTGCTTCGTGCCCTGGACAGGTTGCCTGTGAACCTTCATGCCTTACAGACTTGTAATGTTGGGAAGTCCGTCAATCACCTACGTAGCCATAAAAATTCTGAAATTCAGAAGAAAGCGAGAAGTCTAGTCAGCACATGGAAGAGTCGTGTAGAAGCTGAAATGAATATCATTGAAACAAAGTCTAGTACAAGCCGAGGAGGTTTCTGGCCTAGCAAGTCAATGATGTCTGAAGTTTCTCATATGGGTAGTAGACGGATAGGTGGTTCTTCTGAGGTTGCTCCCAAGAGTTCTACATCACAACCTTCTGCACTGAAAGTTCAACAACCAAAGCATAACTCCGGTGAATCTATCTCCAAATCACCAACATCTCCCAGCTCTACGAAATTGTCGACACTGGCTGCAGCTGGGGGAGGATCCTCAGATATGCCTTCATCAGCAGCTAAAGAGGGAAGAAGTTGCAGTTCTAGTCAATCGCCAAATAATAGTCAGTCTTGTTCTAGTGATCATGGGAAGACTGTGGCTTCCTGCAGGGAAGATGCTCGGAGCACTGTTGCTGGGTCCTCGAGTGTAAGTAAGATCTCTGGTAGCATTTCTCATAGTAGGAACTCAAGCAATGGTTTTCACGGATCTACAATCCCAGGAGTTCAGAAGGAAGGGAGTCTTGGAAAAATTGGTTCTGTGAATCGGAATGTGGCCTCCGAAAAGGGATCCCCAACTCGATATACATCCGAGAGAGTATCTGATGTGTGTCTTGTAGATAATGGCAACAGCCAGAGACTTATTGTGAGGTTGCCCAACACTGGTCGAAGCCCTGCACGAACAGTCAGTGGGGAATCTCCTGAAGACTCTTCCACAATATCTGGTAAGGCTTCTGTTGTGGTATCTTCTGAGAAGCAAGATAACCATGATCAGAAGGTAAGTGGAAAAATTGATGTTCTACAGGGAAACAATGTACCAAATATGGATGCGAATTTGTCTCAGGGAAAAGATGGATTGGTTGGCTGTGATGAAGTTAAGGTGATGACTGCTGGGTTACCTTATGATGAGCGTGGTAGAGTGACTGAAGCATCTTTAGGCAGTGGTTCTTCATCTGGGGTTACTCCAAAATCAGGGAAATTATATGAAGCTTCTTATAGCTCTATAAATGCATTAGTAGAAAGCTGTGCCAAGTTCTCTGAAGCAAGTGTGTCGCCTTCTTTGGGTGATGATATTGGCATGAATCTTCTTGCCAGTGTGGCTGCTGGTGAAATGTCAAGATCTGATGTATCACCCGCATGTTCCCCTGAAAGTAATTCACCTTTACCTGAGGACTCGTGTTCTGCGAATGTTGCTAAGTTGAGGCGCGAAGATAATATCAGTGTGGCAAATGGTCATACAATGGTGGAGCAGATTAGTTCTGTTGACTCSTTGTCTACAAAAAGTAGACCKCCGCAGCARACKCCRCCTKTTAYGACCCACATTTCTGGAGAYAGTAAAGATGCATCATTTGGYTGTGAGTTGAARAYCCWKGAGGATRATWTAMGATTGGATTCACCYGTTRTAGAWTYGCCGCAAAATGGCAATGCTGTTGTTATKGCYCCAGWGGTAAAGCCTGCTGGTTTGATRGAAGATGAAATAAATGGTTGTAAAGAGGGAGATGGAGCTGTTCAGTCTGAAGRTCAWMGGAAATTCTCTCCWAATTGGTCACGAAGTGTTAATTTCTCAAATATGAAACCTAAYAGCGGAAGTMCATCWTCAGATGAAGACAAGAATGCKGGAYGTGCTGATGATAAAGCRGCAAAAAATRRYGWTGTTCTKCCGGRCGCAGCTGCTACWAGTKCMAAGATTGAGACACAGRKYAATGAAGAATCAGCTTCTTGGTCMTCTTCAGATATGCATGYRRATGATAAGAARTTWGYCCACAAACAAYCAAGCARCWGCAACTTAGYATTGCYAGAAGAACTCCRTGGCAGRCTRAARGKTGAGAAYWCWACAGTAGCCACCMCTTCTTGTGGTGATGTTGATTTAGTACCGAAATATGAAGTGGCTGATGACAAAAAGGCAGTGATTCAAGCTGGACAGATCGAGCGACAAAATATGGATTCTGGCGCATCAGTTCAGCGCAGTATTGAACGTACCGATGAACCCCTTGGTCGTAATCCTGGTGTTTCAGTGCCCACTGACAAACCTCCTGCAATTGCAATTCAAGAATTAAGATCGTGTGAAAAGCCTACGGATGTAGCAGATATGGCTGTGAAGTTGGATTTCGATCTGAATGAGGTTCTTCCCAACGATGATGGGATTCAAGGAGAGGTTGAAAGGTCTTCCATTTCGGGAGGTTTGGCTGCCATCCACTCACCTAGCCCTTTACCTTCTAATAATGGCAATCGGTCTTCTTTGATTACTGTAGCTGCTGCCGCCAAAGGACCTTTTTGTTCTTCAGAGAACCTCTCAAGAGGTAAGGCTGAGCTCGGTTGGAAAGGGTCTGCTGCCACCAGCGCATTTCGTCCAGCAGAGCCTCGAAAGRCATCAGATGTTCCGSTTYCTGATAATCATAGCAGTAAACAGGCTCGYCCGCTTTTAGAYTTTGACCTGAATGTTGGGGTTGTCGAKGATGCTGGCCAAAACAATCGTGCTCTTAACGGAGGGGGGCTTGATCTTGATCTGAATGCATSTGAAGAGAGTYCGGATGTTGTGCRGYTRTCKGTTTTCARCAGTGGTAGGCCTGGYRGCATWGAGCAATTRCCKCCAAGRTCACTTCAKTCTCGTGGGTTTTTWAACTCCGAACCMAATTTRTCACGGGGGTTTGACCTGAAYAAYGGACCYGGYGTGGAWGAAGYTGGCKGTGAATCAGTATCRTTTTCCAAAAATGGTATGCAGTTTTTGCCGGCTGTTCCGAATGTCAGAATGAACAATATGGATATCGGTAACTTCTCACCTTGGTTTCCGCCAAACAATGCCTACCCGGCAATCACAATCCCGWCAATTCTTCCGGGTMGAGGRGATCCGAGTTATCCSGTTKCTCCTGCTGCGGTTMCRCAAAGAATGTTGACTCCCGTGACSGCTASTACCTCACTTAATCCCGAATTATTCCGGGGTGGTCCGGTGTTRTCATCCTCTCCTGCAGTYGCATTTCCGTCAACCRTGCCATTTCAGTATTCAGCATTCCCATTTGAAACAAATTTCTCGCTACCGTCAATTTCAAATACGTTTTCTGCWGTCWCAACGGCCTATGTGGATTCTTCATCATCCGGTGGGACCCTTTGTTTCCCAACCATTCCGTCACAAACGCAGCTGGTCGGACCTAATGGTGTGGTTTCTATGCCTTATAGGCCATACTTCATGAGCCTGCCTGGTGGTGGTTCGAGTAACGTTGGTCCTGATGGTCGAAAATGGGGAAGCCAGGGTCTAGATCTTAATACTGGCCCCGGAGGTGGTGCGGACGATAAGTTGGGTTCTGGATTAAGACCGATGCCTCTTGCTGGTTCTCAAACTATGGACGACGAACAGTTAAAGTTGTTTCAGCAAATGGCGGCAGGTAGCGGAGTATCAAAGCGGAAAGAACCCGATAGCGGATGGGATGGAGATCGGATTAACTACAAACGTCATCCGTCATGGCAGTAGGAACGTGTTCTTGCGTTGCCCGGTGAGTCTTCTTTTTTCCCACTCACATGATTGTTGACACTTAGACACACAGAAAGGGCAAATTAAATGCAACAAAATTTGGTTTAGTTTCTATTTAGTGTAACAAACTTTTTTCTTAACAAAGTGATGCACGCTGGATTAATAACAACAGAAATAATCATATGATTCTTATTAACTACTCAGATTCGAATGATTATAATGTTGTTCCAGCAATTCCCTGATTTACAAAAGTCTACTTTTAACTGCTCCCCTTTCTTTTTTATACCCAACCTCCTTTAGTGCATAGTAATACTCTAGCAGAAAGTAAAGATAATGATCTACCCAAAATTCCCCTCTCCTCTCTTGCACCATAATACTGACAATTATTGACTACCACACTACTCAGAGAATAACAATTCCCGCGCCTGAACTTTGACTTTGTTCTCAAGGTGGAAAAAAAATAAAAAGTCTGATTCAATTACTTTCTATTAATGATTGCTGGTGGTGGTGGTATCAGCGGTGGTTCTGGCTGCTCAACCAAGATCTTAGATTCACCCTGCAGTCTATTCTAATGAAAAAATATCCTCCCTGCAAGGCCATGAAATCAAGCACCCAATCTGGGATGGACTCGGGATTGACATTGAATTGTCTTATCGTGTAGACTATTTTGTTTAAGCGTTTCTTGTGTGCATCTCAATGCAACAAAATAAGGGTCTGAACCTCATTCAGATATCTACTTATTCCCATCCTTCAATCAACCGGCCTGCATTCGTCTTTCTTTTCCATTTGATGCAACACGTGAGGTAAAGAAAATAAACCACATAATTATATCGGTTGAAAGATCTTCTCCAGTTGTGTAAAGTGATACAAATCAAACTAATTTTGTTCCTTTCTTTGGTTGATCTCTTGGTTTCTCGAATATTTCAATGTGCTTCTTGTCCTCTAAATATTCCACAACTAGAGTCTTTGCACCATTAACTACCAATAACAAGCCCTGTAGTTGGTACTATTGGCAATCTGACTACTCTTCTCAAAACCGAATTGCGATTTGGATCCCTAACCCAAAAGAAAATGAACCATATAAAACTTCACAGTTCCGCAGCTCAATCCCCTGTACAAGGCTACTCTTTAGTGGATGATGCTGACTATGTAGGTAACTGTAACTTATAAATTCCTATCTTACCACTCGCAATAGCTGAAGGTGGTTAATAAGAACCTAAAGTGCCCTGAATGGCACCGAAGAAGTGTGTGTATCGGCGGTCATCAATGAATCTTATCCCTCTTAACTGCTTCCCTCCCTTCTATTTATACCCAACCTCTCTTAGGGGCTGTTTGGTTGGTTTTTCATAATGGGTAAAGCTGTCTGTATAGATTGGGAGGGTTTTCTCGTAGAAGGTAGGAGCTTGTTTTTTACTTAGGAGGAACAGGTTTGGAAAAAAAAACTTGGCTTTCTGCATAAAGGTCCCCTTATAAGCACACTAAATAAGCCACTTTCTATATCTTAAAGCCACCATCAAACAGTCATATATAGCTGACCGAATAAGCTGCGAGTCTCATTAAGCTTATTAAGTTGATAAACATAGAACTCTTAACAGAAAGTAAAAGTAATGATCCTACCCAAAATACCCCCCTTCCTGCACCATATTATCAAGTATTATTGACTACCACACTACCCGGAATATAGTTTTAAGAAAATTTAAAACTCTGTTGCATTAAGTAGGAAAAATACTCTTTACATCGATCGAGAAAATAAAGTACTTGTTACACTAAATACGAACCAAAACAAACTTCGTTGCATTTGGCCTAAAACACTGAAACCAGACTTTGCTCTTTCTTTAAAGTATATAATCCCTCCGTCCCAAAATAATTGTCTACATTACTATTTTAGTTTGTCCACTTTTATCCCTTAATTATGATGGAGAAAATCTCTCTCTCTCTCTCTCTTATATATATATATATATATATAAAATTAAGGGTAAAACTGTCATTTTGTTTATTATAAAGTGTATTAGTTACACATTCTTAAAACTTTGTGCGTTTTTTTATTGTGGACATATTTTGGGACGGAGGGACAACAAAATCTAGTGGGGCTTGAACCCTTGACCCATCTGTAGGCTGAGCACCGCTACTGATAACTTACATATAGCTAGACCAAATGCTTGGGTTTTTTCGTCATTCGTTTGATATAATAACAGTTTGCAGGTGATGTTTCGGAGACCTCCGTTTGGTGGCCGAAGCGGTTTGTGGGTTTGGAGAAAAAAATATGCCCCCCATCTTGTTTACGAGACCTTTCCTTATGTATCGTGGGGGTGTGTTATGAAAGCATTGCGTTGTTGGTTGAAATAGTTATCGATGTTTTAACTTGTTGAAAAGCATTTGCCCACCCGAAACAAACCAGGGAATTGGTTTCAACAAATATATATGTAGATTGCCAGTTCTTCTGGGTTTTAGTTTTATTAAATTTTATTCCCTTCCTTACACTGTCGTTTGTTTATATTCACGCGTTTGGTACGTAGATAGGATTGTACAGTACTGAACGAGGTTGGACTGGACTTGGCTGACGAGAGTGAGGTAAACAAATGAAAGAATTGTGGAAGGATTTAAGGTTTTAGTTTGATATGGGTTGTTTAGTAATTTTACTCATCTTAGTCTCATTTTTATCATCTTTTTTCTATTATTTGTCCCGTTCAGTCATGTTTTGTTTCAGTCTGATTGTCATGCCAGATGTGAAGTTCACATCGGGTTTTTGTTCTGGCCTGTACCGAACATGTCGTAGACGAACTCTTTTTTGGATCTGGTTGTTGGGAAGAACCAGGTTAGCCAGGACCGATTATGGTCGAAGGTAGGGGTTTAAACGAGCCGAGCCAAGCCGAGTCGAGAGCTCGGAAAAATTATATTAGGCTCGAGCTTGGATAACTTTTTCAATGTAGGGTTCAAGCACGAGCTCAAATATTTTATGGATCTTACGACCAATTAACTCGTTTATCGGCTCGAAGTTGATAATTTATATATTTTTATTGTATTGTTTATGAACATATGAGTAGGTTTGGCTTTGAAAAAGTATATGCTTGAATGACTCGACTTGACTTGAAAATTTTGATCGAGTTTTTGAATTAGCCGAATCATCGGTCTTATGAAGCTTGACTCGTTAAAAGTTCATTTCATTTAATGACTAGACCAATCTCTATGGCTGAAAAGCTCAAAGGTCCCTAGTGGCTTGATATGGTTGATCTCGATGGCAAAAGATCCGAATGGCTAAATCACTACGGAAAAAGTCTACTATAGTTACGTTTTCAATGTATCATTTGACCTGGTTTTTGATACATACAAGGGTGTATATAACATCCATTTTTGTTCTCTACATATGTATGAATTGATGTGATTTTGATATACATATAGGTGTAGCCTGAGGTTCAGGAGAAAACACCAAAAAAAATAAAAAACCAAAGAACACCCTCATAACCATTTATTTGTACAATATGTACATGTGCATATAAGTGAAGTCGTTTATTGGTTCTTATGCACGTGTAAGTGTTACGTTCACGTGTATACCGAACAAATTTCTTACAAATTACTTGCATACACATGTATACCGTCCAGATGAATAATTATTAATTTATTTATTAAATTTTCATTTTTTTAAGGTTTTCCTTAGTACCTAATATGGCAAAACACCCTCATCAAACAAGAGTTGGTTTAAAGTTTTTTTTTTCAATCAAATCACTTGATATTACAAACGGGCGAGTGTCGTCGTGTCAATTGTTTGAGGGGCGATGGGTTCGAGATCCAAATGGGTAATCGTTGTTGGCATAATACTGATTCCAGTTGTGCTACAATGCCTGACTCGAAGAATTATTTCAAGAATAGGCGGATGGATAAAGATCTATTGAATTGGAAAGATAACACGAAAATGATCAAATAATATATATTATTTGCATTAGAATCACATAAAAAATCACATGTGATTCAAGTCGCTTGCACACCACTTACATATTCAATAATCACATGTGATTTCAAAGGAAAATCACATATAAATTGATCATTTTCGTGTTTTCTTATTCCAACCATATACTTGTTTGAACCTCAATGGTTTGAAATTAAAATTCATATACATATCACACAATTTTTTGGTGGTATTATTGGTAAATATATTATTTAAGATATTTTTTTTTCCAAAAAATGCCATCAGATATCAATATCTTTACAGTTAAAGTGTAAATATAGGGTTTTCCCATGATGGTTGTAGGACCTGTATGGTGGGGACGTTTCATGAAGTGGCGTCATAACCTCGGTCGGAGAACATTCATACATATATGCAAACTGCTTTTGACATGTAACTAAGTTGGCAAAGAGACGAGACGACTTTGCCTTAATACAAGAAAGGTCACGACTGGTAGCAGATGATGAACATTTCATAAACGGATCCAATTCGGGTATTTTACGCCTCCACCTTAACAAACTCGACCTCAACTGGGCCACCGACTCCCAAACCTAGACCACACCGTCATCTCAGATGGCCATTGGTTCTTTCGACAACTTCAACCATACTTGAACATCATCAAGATAGGATATGTCTACGGTAACGAACCCAACGTTACCAATCACACTATCACATTCGCTACGATAATGGCCTTTCGAGCCACTGAAAGGTGCATCAACAACCGAATAGAGCGCAAGCATTTGATGACATTTCTAAGGACGTTTTTAGCGGTACATTTTCGAGAATGGAACATGGGACAATGGAGGGAGTTGCCAATGACATAATTTGAAGTTGAATCAGATAAAAAAACATACAGTTTTAGAAAATTATCACAGTTTTTAATTAACCAAATGACAATTTTATCCTTAATAACAGACGGAGTAGTGAATTTCTCTATCTCATAATTAGAGTAGAATTCCGAAGTAGGACACTTGGGGGCCGTTTACCAAAACACTTACCCGGTAAACGCTTACCAGTAAAATTCAACACTATCACTTACTTACCGAGTAAGATTTTAGTCAACAAAAACGGCATCGTATGCAACAATTTACCCGGTAAGCGCTAACCGTGGTAAGAGTCCTCGTTCTCACTTACCGGGTAAGACTGTTGGTCCTTACTATATTTATTCTGTAAGTTGATGTGAATTGGTAAGCGCTTACCCGGATAAGTGTTTGGTAAACAACCCCTTACTTTTGAAAATGAACCCTTATTTTGGGACCAAACAAAAAATAGAAACGTGGACTTATTTTGAAACAGATAAAGTAATATTCATATACAACAAATACTCACACACACTTCTCATCTTTGCATCAGATGAGTTCTATTGTGAGTTCTATTGGGAGATAAATGAGGATGCAAAATGAAGAGATAGAAAGGGCAAGAAGTAGTTTAAATCATTGAATATCACAAAGGCCATAGCAATGATGTAGCAAATGGATGCAAGGGTTATAATGATTGTGTTTATTTGCATTCTGATATGAAGTTTCAAGTGCAAAAAATTGTCTCATGGGTCTCACGAAAACATGTTGGTCTCACGTAATCACAAATATATATATATATATATATATATATATATATATATATATAATAAATATATATAAACATGATATGAACACTAGTGGCATGCCAATGCCATCTTTAGGCCAAAACATATAAACATACAAGCACCATATCATTTTCTTAAAATGATTTGAGAACAAAAAGTGTCAGTTGTTAGCAACTTAATGAGCTTAATGGGTCTCACAGCTTATTCGACTAGCGATACATGACTGTTTGGTTGTGACTTAATGATATAGAAAGTGGCTTATTCAATAAGATTCTAATGGATGCTTCATATAGAAAGCTAAAATTTTTCCAAACTGTCCCTCCCAACTAATAACACACTTCTTCCGTTTAACAAAAACTCTCCCAAACAAAAACCTTTGCAATCTATACAGACACATTAAACCATACAGACAGTTCTATCCATACAGAGCTTAATGAAAACCCAATGAAACAACCCTTAAATCCCACTGGAAAGTGGGGTTAGACGGTGAGATGCATGCAAACTTGATCTCTAAACCCAAATGCGTAGAACGACGATTTCAGTAAAGACCCCTAACTTGTGCAAACACATCAACTCGAATGTAAAACCTTATAGAAAGTCATCATATTATACGAGAACAAATAACCAATGCTATTCTACAATAAGTTTTTTACAACAGAAAAGACGACAACATCAAACGCGAAACGAGTAATATTAATGAACACAAACATGAACGAAACATATAATCTTAAAGACTCAAACCTCAAGATTCGACCGAGCCACCGAGCACGAACGAGAAGAGTTCACGAACCGGCGAGTATTCAACCAAGCCAATATCCATCGCATAGCCCGTAACCGGCAACTTCAAGTCCCTTAAAACAGTAAACGCTTCCGCCATTCGATTCTTTGGCACCTCTTCGGCAACCGGGCAGTATGGAATCCACGAATCCGGGCGATATTCTTCCCCGATTTCAATCCCTTCCCTCTTCATTGCATCACAAAGTTGAAAATGAAATTGAAGAAGGGGCAAAGTAGGAGTTGGAGCAAGAAACAATACATTATTATCATTTGGTAAGCTTCCAATCGAACCGAAAGATAACGGCAAAGGATCTTGCTTTGAAGCAAACCCTTTTACGATGTTTTCAAGCTTCGATGGATCGATAAACGGGCTCGAAAACAGAGTTATATGAGGTCGAGATTCGATTTCGATAAGATGGGTGCTAATTTGGCGACGAGCCACCACATTCCAAGCTTTCAGGACTTGGTTTTCAAGAGCAGGATCAAAGTAAAGCTCAATTGCGTAACCCTCAGACATTAAATTCGATTACGAATTAAATAAAAACTAGAGTTTCAAAAATTGAAAACGAATCGCAAACCCTAAACAAAACCCTAATCCTGAATCCGATAGCAATCAACAAAACGATTGATTAATGTTCAACAAATTGAAGAGTACATTAGAGCTTACTTCCCGTAATCAACTTCAGATCCAGAAAACCGATCAAATGGGAAATTATACAATCAAAACGACCCACTACGATTAACAGCTACAAATTTGGGGAAAAGGGTTTCGAAAGCAAACCCTAAAAATCGAAAATTTGAAGCGAAGGACTAAAATTGGCACAAACCCAGATGAGATTCAATCGATCGAGCTAAAAAGCAAACAGGGGAAGTGAAATTGGAGAAGTGAAGGAGTAAAAATTGGAATTTGGACAAAGGGTTTTGATGAGAAAAGATGAAATCGAAAAAATGAAGGGGCGAGAACATCGGGGGTTTGGCGTTGATATTTGGTGGCGGATGGATGCAGTCATCGAAATATTTCATAAATGGTCCCTTGAATATTAGTTAAGTTTCATTTTTGATCCATAGACTATTTAAAGCTTTATAAGCAGTCCTTGTATAAAAAATGAGATAACAATTTGACCCGACTCAACGACTCATAGTTTGTGCATAAGGGTTTGTAAATTGTAATCGGTAATCCCCGAGTTGATCTGCACTTTCCAATAGTATCATGTAAGAGATAAATCACTGACTCAGATATGCACAGGTCAGTTGAGTGATTGCCTTAAGAAACTAGTGACTATAAGCAGCTCAATCTTCAAAGGAATTGTAACTCTACGACTGCCAGACTCGAACGTTCTTCTAGGTGCCTGTTGTTCAGAACACGTTGTGGTCTTGTGGACTCGTTGCCGATCCCACAATTCAACTAGTGTTGCAAGTTACACTCGTCTGAATTTAACATGTCTTTTTGTACGCTTTCTGCAAAGGGATATATGTGAAACGTATCGTTATTCCGTTAAGGGTATGATTATTTCGTTAAGGATATGGTCGTATATGAAACCATACAAAATATGGAGCCAAGTGTAACTTTTTAGGTCCTTAAATGTCCAACCATAAGTTTTATGGGTGAAACTATAAACATTAAAAACTTTAGGGGTTTATATTAAAATTATGGATTCGCCTTTGTTTGACGTAACCCTCGAGAACCGCACTGTATTGTTCTTACCTACGATTATCATGAGAAAGGTAAAATTAGGGCCGTTTACCAAATGCTTACCGGGTAAGTGCTTACCAAGTAACTATTATCTCACCGGATTAATATTGTAAGGACCAAGAATCTTACCCGGTAAGAACGAGACAAGGACCAAAATTCTTACCCGGTAAGTGAGGGCGAGGACTCTTACCATGGTAAGCACTTACCGAGTAAATTGTTGCATATAATGTCGTTTTGGGTGGACTAAAATCTTACCAGGTAAATAAATAGTAGTGTTAGATTTTACCGGTAAGTACTTACCGGGTAAGTGTTTGGTAAACGGCCCCTTAGTATCTAAAGGCGAACTTCATACCTTCCACTCTGTAAAGATGTCCATCTACTTACTTGTACGCCACTCAGGGACGAACCTAGAAATTTTTTCAAACAATGACATCATTTGACTATAAGAAAAAATATAGGGAATTTTTTTATCGTTTGACTATAAGAAACAAATATATGGAATTTTTTTCAAACAGTGACACCATTTAACTAAGAAAATGACACTAACACGATTCGAACTTGGTTCTGGGGTGGAATAAAAGCCTTGCAAACCAACTCTACCAAATAAAACTTGTTATCATCGTAGTTTCAAATACATACGGTGGCACACAACAGATTAATACGATTGCACTTTTTACGAACCTAAATTTTTTTACCCTTCGACGGAGGAATAATACGGTGACACGTGCCACCGTATGCACAATTATAGGTCCGTCTCTAACGCCACTGATACTCTTTTCCGTACACTTTCCTCATTCCTATTACTCCATTCGTATCGCAACCAAGTTCTTGATCTATTCTCAACTATCGTACGACACCAATGGGAATGACACGGAAAACTTTCACCATTCGGGTTCGGTTTTCTGTTACTTTTATCTCGTTTTATGTTAGTTTTTTTTACATCCCGACGATAAAGATCTTACGATCGTTTGTTTTTCGACTAAAACAACGAGTTCGAAGGCGTAACCTCTAATATATAATCATTTACAGCATTTTTCATTAGAGTTAAAACACTTATAATACACTTGATAAGTAACAAGGAGCTTTGATTTATTTGCTCTCCATGTCCTCATCTTTGTAATATTGCAACAATGGCGATCTCGGAGTCGAAGACGATTCCGAGTTTATAACTTCATCGTTTATCACGTCCTCTTTCGCTTTTCCCCACATCACTGTGTAGAACCCGATCGATATTATCGATGCGCCAATCACACTGCACAACGATACAGATAAATTCAATTTCTACAACAAAACGGGCGTTCTGGAACGTAGTATTTAATTGGACTTTTAAGTTTATAATGCTAAAAAGTAAATCATCCCGTTAGTGTTTTATGACACATTCGGAAAGCGTCGTGTATATATGTAGAAGGTTGGGTTCATGTGAGACCAGACTGTTTTGATAAGACTGGTGAGAACATAAAATAACACTGAAACTTCGAAGCAACACATTGTGGAGGTACGGAAAAAACATTGCACCTTCACAGCATAAATACTGTGGAGGTCTTCACAATGTTTTGCTATTGAGGTTTTACTAAATACTTACCCGGTAAGTGTTAATCGGGTAACTTTCCTCACTTGATGCACATGACAAGGGCTGAAAATCTTACCCAGTAAGAGCGATGATAAGGATAAAGAGTCTTACCCGGTAAGTAATGGTGAGGACTCTTACCCGGGAAAACCCGTTTACCGGGTAAATTGTTGCATACGATACCGTTTTAATATACTACAATCTTATCTGATAAAATAAATTATAATGTTGACTTCTATCGGTACGCGCTTACTGAGTAAGTATTTGGGTAAACGGCCCCTTACTCATTATTAATGAGGACGTCCTAAAATACCAATTTTGTTGCAATGAAAGAAGTAAGTTCGATCATTGTACCTTCCGAGATAGAGATCGTCGCCAAGGAACATGACGCCCATGGCGACAGCTATCGCAATCGACAGCGGCTTAAACATGGACACGAATAACGGTCCTTTCAACCGTAACGCCCACGTATGTACGCTATTGTTCAAGCACGAACCAAGCACACCCTGCACGACTCAATAAACTCTTGAAATCCCATTTAGACGGATCACAAAACCACAGAAACCGACCACAGTTGGGTACTCACCGAGCATAGAATCGAGGCCAAGGCTATGTCGGGTTTGATCCTCCACGCACTCGAATCCGGTTCCGTAAAAACCCCGACAATTGCGGCAAGAATGCTCACTATTAAGTTGTAAAAGAACACCACAGTCAATTCCGATGGATACTCCTTCATGATTTGTGTCTGCACACATCAAAGGGTTACAATATCCGATTTTTTAATCGAATCGTTACACCGAGAACCGTAACTATTTTGAGAACATCGGAATACACGGTACAACAAAATTGGCCTTATATAACGCTTAAAATGTCTAAGCGTACTAATAGAATACTTTATAGAACACAAGTTTATAGGATGAAACTATTAAGCGTCCTGTCTAAAAGCGTTACAATAGGTCCATAAGACGTTTGTAGGCGTTTTAACAAGTTCTTTTTAGGACTTTTAAGTGTCCTGTTAGCTATTTTTATAGGTCATTTTTGAGAAGTCTCCTATAAACCGATTTTTTTATAGGACACTTTTTCAAATAATGTCTCATAAAATAGCTAATACGGTACTTTATTTTAAAAGCGTCCTAAAAAACTTGTCAAAACACTTAAAAACGTCCTATAAACCGAAGAAGTCTCTCGAAATTAAACAAAAAACCGAAAAAGTTCCTCGAATCAACCAAAAAACACTTAAAAATCTCGGGAAATCAACCAAAATATTTTTAAAAACCCTTGAAACGATGGAATTAAGCTAAAAACACATCGGGTGACTTTGCAGGCCTTTAGTCCGCTTTAAAGGTGCACCTGCAAAAATCGCGAGTCTGTCGGTGCTTGGCAAACCAACTATTTCATGAGTTATTCATTACGAATAATCCTAATATATTCATAAACATTATTCATCATGATTTTCACTATTCACGATATTCATTATGAATAACTCATTAATAGTTGGTTCCCATGTGCTCAAAATATTCACAGTTTTCATTTGAACTCGCCATTTTGTTAGACCAATGAACGTGATTCGTACCTGCACGATGTACCACAACGGGACCAATATGTACTCGGAAGTTAGGAAAAGGCCGCCGAGGGTCCAATTTGGTTGCGAAGAATTGAGGGAAACCGAAACCGAAGAAGGACTAGGAGGAGGAGATAGACTCCAAATAAGCTTAGGACCTTTGTAAAGTGTCACAACAAATGCACCGGTCACGGAAACGACCGTGCCCAAAAACTTTGCACGCGTACTTTTCTTCGAAAAAGATAACGTCTCCATCCTGTTTTTCGCCATACAAAACTGTTAGGATATACGGAACCTTCGATTTTCTCTTTAAAATTGTATTCACAGAGAGAACAAGTTTAATGGAGCTTGTTACACTTGTATCAAAGCTACAAATCGACAGGGTCGGGCCCTTCTAAGCTCGTTTTTCAGTGAGCAAAAAAGGGCCCGAGCTTTTTTAGGCCTAAGCCGGCCCGTATCATCGTTGGGATTGAAATATGGCCCGATTAAAGCCCAAACTTTTTCAGGTTGGGTTTTTTTAGGCCTTACCCCCACCTCCATCAAAACTATAGATTGACAAGATCGGGCCTTCTAAGCCCGTTTTCAGTTAGCAAAAAAGGGCCTGGTTTTTTTTAGGCACATGCCTGGCTGGATCAACTTTGTGGTTGAGAGAGGGTCCAATCGGGCTTTTCAGCTTGCCCCCAAAATTTCGACAGGATCGGGCTTTGTATGCTTCGGGGTCACTTTATAAAACCTAAAATATTGTAAAAAGGGTTGGGTTTATGTGAGACCAGACTGTTTTCGTAAAATCCGTGGGACCACTTAAAACTTCATGGAAAATGCTGTAAATTTAAAAAAAAACCAAATAATATTTTGCTGTAAAATTTCAAGTATAAAAAAAATGTTGTCACGAATATCACAAATACAGACGGGTGGTTTCCATGATTCCAAGTATTACTAACAATGCGCTGGTCAGTATATTTCATGAAAAGAAGTCCATCACGACCGTTTACATAGAAAAGGACACGTGTCGAAATCAATGTATTGTGGGACAAAAAAAGCATCGAAAATGACGGATTTAACGACAGTTCCGGTGCCGGAAAAACTGGAACCTTTACCGGAAAATGACAGCAAGGATGAAAGTAAAAGCTGGAACAAGGTTGCTAATGGCGGACGCCAACGTCGGAGAACTGTAAATTATTCCGGTATACCCCATAACCTGCGACGTACACCTGATCATCAAAATAATTCAAAAATCAATTTATAAATTCATCGGAATCATTGCCGGAGATTCACAAAAAATCACACTACCCGATGATTCCCAAGAGTCCGATTTTGCTAACGATCGAGAAATTCACCGGCGGCAGCACCCTCGATCTGTTTTCAGGCCAAAAAAAAGAGTCAAAAACATTATTATTCCGATTCCGGCGAGGGGTATAATAATTAAACGATACCTGTTGGAGAAGAACGGCGCCGGAAGGAGGAGGACGGCGGCTACGGCGTAGGAGTAAACGATGAAGACGTGGTAGCTCATTCCTCGGAGTGTGGCGGCTTTGTACAAGGTATTGAGTCCGACGTTGGTGCACTCCATGGTGACCATGGCGGCGAACGGCAGGATATCTTTGTAACAGTAGTATCTCCGGTCGCCGGCCATTTTTTCCGGCGGGGAGTGTGTGGGTGTTGCGTGGAGGAGTGGAGAGTGTATAATGTGAAGTTTAATAAAGAAGAAGGATTGGATCTTACGTAAGATTTGACAACTACTATTTGATCCATTTCTATAGCAGAAGCTTCTAATCTAGTCATAATCTACTTTAATATTGTATACAAATTTTACATCTTTAAAGAATTCTTGATTTCTGCTGTATTTTGGGACAGTTTATGTGTACCGACTAATCTATTGGATGACAATGAATGATTTGGAGTCATCGTAGGTGAACTTTGATGGATTAATCATTGCACATAAACTAAGGGGTTGTTTGTTTACCTCTTAATAGTTCCGTTAAGAGACATCATCTGAATCATTAAGAGATGAATCTTGTTTGACAAAAAAAAGTCTGCATTTTAATGGTTTAAAAACCATCTGAATGATTTTTTATCATGAGTCTCCATTAACCATTAAGCGTCCTGATTTCATTGTAAACAATTACCAAACAATTATATTTCATTTTACACTATATCATGAAAGTCTCTTAATCATTTTGACCACTTAATCATTCTGCAACAAACCATTCAACAACTATCAAACAACCCATAACCTGAAAATAATTGTTCTGGGTAATTGTGGGTTTCTAGATTAACTTATGCAAAGTAATTGATTTAGCAGACGATCATAAATGACTTGGAATCATTGCAGGCGAATTCCTAATGGTTACAAGAGGCTTGGTGGCGACTGGATTTGAAAATGGGGAAGATGAGATTTTCGTTAAGATTCCTTGAGTCTTAACCAGTGTGCCACAGTTCAATTGGTTTTCAAAAAAGTATTTGTTTTTATGATAATTTTAATAGATTTGTCATATTATTGAAGGAAAAAGTAACGTACTTTAACTTGATTCCTATTATAGGTAACATACTTTCAAAACTTCCATTTTGGTATCAAGATGTAAAGGTTTAAACATCTAAGTACCCGGATAATTGGTTGAAGACTAATTTTAGATTTAAAAAAATCAATGTCACTAACCACGTCAGCAAATAATACTGAGTTGAATATCAGATCACTCGTCACATCAGCATGATAACCGCTTAATGCTTCAATCGGTTACCCGAGTACTTAAATGTTTAAAACCTTACATCCTAGGTACCAAAATGAAAGTTTTAAAAACACGTTTCCCAATATAGGAATCAAGTTAAAGTACGTTACATTTTCATGCAATTTGCTCAAATAATATTAAATTGAATTATAGAAACACATGTATCTCCAAAATTAAAAATATTGAGTAAGTTGAAGAAAAATTAAACAAATCCATCAACCACAGTTGGAATCTCGAAGTCGAATGACGATTTGAAATTTTTGATTTTGATTGACAGATTTTGAAATTTCGTCAATTTAAAGAATACAGTCAATTGAGAAGTGAAAACTAAAAACTTTTTTTTTTGAAGTATATAATATTTATATACGGCAAATGCAACAAATAAACTCACACACCCTCCTCACTTATGGTGAGATTTGAACCCCTGACCTCCTAGAAGGCCAATGGCTACGATACCGCTAGGTCAAAGGCCCTTTGATAGTGAAAACTAAAAACTTAATGTCTTGGATAGACTTTTTTCTTTCAATTGAGTCATAAAAGTTGAGCCTACACCATGGAAACTAAATATAACTAATACATGTGTATTTTGCTAGTCGGTTTGGTCCAAAACACTAAGGTGGCGTTTGTTTTTTAAGAGGTGTTGAAGTCTGGAGTTTGATTTCATTTATGATTTATAAGAGGTGATTCTAAAATCTGAAATCTGGATCAGTAAGATTGTTTGTCTTTACGTCTGAAACGGCCAAATTAGTGCAAAAATATAAAAGATAATTTTTTTTTTTTTTACAAAAGTATAAAAGAAGAATAGGTTTTGCTAACAAATCTCTTCCGGCCCCCAAAATATGAACCATGTGATAGAGAGCAGATTAGGATTAAGAGGTATTAAAAGATGCATTTACCACTTAAAATTTCCAAGGACATTTAGAGCTTTTAAGCTCTTATTTTAAAATTAAAACAAACACTCTTAATGCCCAAACGTCTGAACGAATCAGACTTCAGAGTTATTAAGAGGTAATTTTGAAAAAACAAACATGCCTTAAAACTTTCAAACAACATATTGGACTGAACCGAACTGTCAGACCACTCAAATGTCTAATTAATTATATTTATTAATTTGATGATACTTGGATGGTAATCGAATGATATTCAGATTGGATTGAACTGGTTCAGTTTTATCAGATTATGCACTATCGTTTAAGAATCGTCCAATCTAAATTTGTTGAAATTTTGGACCCAATCCGATCCAATTTCAACTAAATATCTAATCGTAATTTTTCAATTCTAATCAAATCAAACGACCTTCTGTTCACCCGTATTAACATACGTTTACTCTTTCCTCTCTACCCGATTACGTTTTATTTTCAACAGACATACCATAAAACGTGCACGCAAAAATCGACCTTATTACGTAGATTTTTAATACGAAACTTATCCAATTTCTAACATGACATCATTACTTTTACCAAATGAAATACAAATGGTGCATTATTGCCCCCAAAAAGGAGTTACCGTTAATTATGTTTTTCGTCCCTATGGTTTGTTAAAAATTACAGTTTTTGTCCATGTGGTTTCAAAATTAAGGTTTTCATCCTCATGGTATGAAATTCATTGTTATTTTCGTCCCTAAGGCTAAGGGGCAGTTTAGTAAATACTTACCTTGGTAAAAGCTTAACAGTTGAATTCTTCAGGTAAACATAATAAGAACCAATATCTTATCCGTTAAAAAGGAAGACAAGAATCAAGAGTCTTACTCGGTAAGTGAAGGTGATGACTCTTATGTGGTAAGCGCTTATCGGGTTATAAACACTTACCATCAATCCATTTTGATGACAAAAAAATGTTACATAAGTGAGAGTGATGACTCTTGACAGTAATCGTTTGGCAAACAACCTCTAACTCCTACCCTTAAATATGAAGAACAAAAATAGCAAGAAACTTGTAAACCATAGAGACGAAAACAACAATAAACTGTAAACCATAAGGACAAGAACTGTAATTTCAACAGTATAAGGATGGAAACAACAAATTTCAATAAACCCAAGGGACAAAATTGTAATTTTACTATTTATTTAAAAACTTTATATCCAACTTGCAACCAAAAATAGATGAGACACAAACAAAAGGTATTCATATGTCCCATCTCAATGTTATATGCCTCACCATTCCATTACCATCAAAAAAAAAAAGCCCCACAAATCACAATCAATTTTCTGTACTTGGTTTTGCACACAACTTGTGATGATAATTAGGGTTTAAAATTGGATATTTTTGTGCCATTAAATGTTCTTCCCCAATAATGCAATCAAAATCATCATAAAAAAGGAAAAATAAGACCATTCAATCATATAGGGATATAGAACCCTTTTTTGAACAAAAGGTTGGATCCATTTGGTTTTGCAGTATTTGATTGGTGGAGAGATATAGAGGACATTTGGCCTAGCGGTATGTGAGTCTTTGGCCTCCTAGAAGGTTATAAGTTTAGACCTCACCAAAGGTGAGGAGTGTGTTTGAGTTTATTTGTTTTATTTTGCTGTATATAAAGTATTATATACTTCAAAATGAAAAGTTGAAGTCGATTTTAATTACATGTTTGGTTTGAAGGATTTACTGGATTTGAAATTCTGAGATTTATTTGAAATCCCACAAACGTATGATTCGAAAATCTGATAGGGGATGTTTGGTATTTCATGGGATTTCGTAAGATTTGTATGTAATAATGTTTTAATTATAATAAAAGCATTTGTTTTGTAATATCAATTAATAAAATATGTAATTTAATTATTTTTATAATTATTTATAATTTGCAGGTTGTGGAATTGGATTCCATTCCAATTTCATCCCGATTGATTTGCGGGTTTTGGAATTGGATTCCATTCCAATCCCATGTGGTTTACTCTGGAATCGAAATCTCGAAATTTTAATGAGATCCCACAACGGGTAGTCGGTATTTCACGGGATTTCATAGGATTTGTTTGTAATAATGTTTTAAAATAAGTTAAAAACACTTGTTATTTAATAATCAATTAATAAAAAGATAATTTAATTCCATTCCAAATCCTATAAACCGAACACACTAAAGATTTCAAATCCTTCCATAAAATGCAAATCCCTCAAAACCATCCGATCAAACCAAACGGACCCTAAATCTCGACATAGCAAAAAACCAATCTTTTTTACTTTTCAAACTGAATCAATACAAAAGTCACAAATTGGGTACACGAAGCCTTTCTGGAGATGAGCAAAGGATCCAGTGTGGAACTTGAAGCCTTTCTGGTGCTGGTTTTCTTGAATAATAGGCAGCATATCAAGAAACAACCGAGGTGGAACGTTGACCGAAGATATTGACCCGATGGTTCATTTTTGGAGGAGATGGGTGTTTTCGGTTGGTGCTTCGAGTCTTGAAACATCATCTCTCGTCAATTTCTGTTCCGTAGATTGTCCCCATAAAACCGTATAGACTCCCACAGCTATTATCACTGCTCCAATCACACTGTTCAGGAAGTCAAGATCAAATCTTGGTCAACGATTCGTTCAATCTCAGAATCAAGAAAAGGATAAATGATTCCGTCTAATGAAAATCTTTAAAATGACCAAAAGGGTCATTGGCCAGGGTTACTACCCGAGTTACTGGTAGGGTCCAGATTCCCAGAAGATGAAGGGTTCAAACCTCGCCAAAGGTTAGTAGTGTGTGTGAGTATTTGTTGTATATATATATCATATATAATTCAAAAATAAAATTTTAAAACGAACTTAATTTGATGATGATGGTGGTGATGGAAGTTATTGATGTTTACCTGCCTAACCGAAGAACGTCGTCAAGAAACGTTATCCCCATGATGACCGCAATGACCATTGAGATGGGTTTGAACATGGACACGTAAATCGGACCTTTTTTGCGCAGACACCATGTTATAACAGTGTTACGGACTGCAGAGCCAAATACTGCCTACAATGAAGCTGAACATCAGGTCTCCATATATCCTACCCCTAGACCCCACTTCAATGGTGGATATATTGAGCTCGTTTGGTTTGATTTACATCATTCCGGCCAGAATTTGATTCCTTGGCATCCCAAAACAGGATTGACGTTATCCATAGGGGTGCGTTTGGTACACTGGACAGGATAGAGCAGGGATCACTGTTCCATGTTTGACAGGACTTTTATGTGGAACAGGCATGTGCCACCCCCACCCCATGGAACAAGATGGAACAAACTTATATTTAACCAATATAACCTCAAAATAAAACCTAATTTTCTTCTAACACATCAAACACGCCTCTTTAAAAATTTATTTATTGTTTTTATGCTCTTTAAACTTTCTTTCTTTCCTTTAAATATTATTTTTAAAGGGTTTCTAAATTTTGATTAATTTCTGTAATTTTTTAAATATTAATAATAATAAAAATATAGAAAAGATATAAAATAAAAACTGGAAACTACATAAACTTTTTATTCTAGTGTCATTTTAATCATCTTGATAGAAACTTTCTGATGACATTTTATTGTAAAAATTTTATTTTACTATAATTTAAAAAAATTACATAAATTAATATATATATATATAATATATATATATATATAATATATATATATATAATATATATATATATATAATATATATAAACAATTCATTAGGGGTAAATTAGTCATTTTATCTGTTATGTCCTGTCTTAACAAACACTAAATAGCTGTTTTGTCTTGTTAATGTTTGAATACCAAACGCACCCTAAGCAGTAATACTTGCTAAATGCATCTAGTTAAGTATGTGGTTTGCTTACCGCAAAAACAATAGATACCAACTCTGAGCCGGTGTCCAGCATCCAAACATCAGTATTCCGCTCTAAAATGAGAGTAAAAATCGCACATTGAATTGTCCCGAAACAGCAAAATAGGAAAACTACGGTCACTTCATCTGGGTACTCCTTGACAGTTGCCGTCTGGATGACAGAAAAAAACGATATTTAGGGATCCGGAATAGATTAAATAGACCCAAACAAGTTGGAATCACTACAATAGAATCGGCTTTATAGGACGCCAAATATATTTAAATGTCTTAATAGACTGCTTTATAGGATTTAAGTTTACAGGACCAGACATTTGTACGTCCTATGTAACGGTGTTGCAATAAGCTGACAAACGTTTTTGGACAACAAGTTTTTTAGGACGGTTTTGAAATAAAACGTCCTATTAGTCTTTTATATGATATTATTTGTAAATAATATCTTATAAAAACAACTGTTCTATAAAAAAGATGTGTTTATGGAACACTTCTCGCTATAAAAAAAGTTAATATGAAACTTCATCTCAAAAGTGTTCTAAAAAGCTTTAAACTTATTGTAACGCTTTTACATATAACGCATAATTGTTTAAACTTAAGTCTTATAAAGCAGTCTATTAGGCCATTTGGACATTTTTGGCATCCTATAAAGTCGATTTTGTTTGTAGTGAATTTTAAACACCACTAGCTTAAATAAAAATCCCCTTGTTGCCACGGAGGTTCAAATGCGGTGACTCTGGACTACCCGTGAAGCGGGTGGTCGCCTTGGGATTAGTCGGCTCGCATAGCGGGTTGGATATCCAGGTTAATCAAATAAAGTAAAAAAACCACTTACTTGAAATACATTCCATGATGAAGAGCAAACACAAGTGATTGTAATGAGTAAGCCCCCAAGTATCCAATTCGATTGTTGTGAAAAAAGTAGATCCTTGCGTAAATCATCATCAAGAATCGTCTTGAATAATGCGGGACCCTGATAAAAAGTCATCACCGATGCTCCCGTTATAGCCACAATGGTGCCAAGTGCTTTTGCTTGGCTTGTTGGTTTTTTTATATCGAACTTCTCCATCCTAATCATATAACAAACCACAACTGTGAGAATATGTGGAACCTCTATAGATTATTCTCTCTAAAAGAGCCCTCGAGGAAAGAAGGGAGGTTCCAACATAAATAGAGGAACAAAGGTTGCCTTATAAGAGACCGGATACCTCATCTACAAGACACGTTTTAAAACCCTGAGTCTAGGTGTGGACAAGGCGGAAGAAAATGTTTGGTACGCTTAGCCTGGAATGTTATAGATGGTATCAAAGCCGGAAACCGGACTGGTGTGCCAGCGTCCAAGGGGTGGGTGGGTTGTAAGATCCCACATCGGTTGGCTTATAAGGGACTGGATACCTCCTCTATCAGACGCGTTTTAAAACCGTGAGTCCATGCGTTTTAAAACCGTGAGTCTAGGTGTGGACAAAGCGGACAATATCTGGTATGGTTAGCTTGAATGTTACAGAAATGGTCCAAGTCTAAGCAGATCTGGGACACGCCCCGTCCAACGAAGGCTAGACGAGCACAATTTGTATCAGGATGCTGAGAGGGGCCTAGATGAGTAGTGATTGCCCTAGAGTGTCGAGTCCCTAGAATGGTAGACCTTTACTCTAATACCATGTAAGAATACGTGGAATCTCATTCATTTACTCTCTCCAAAAGAGCCCTTGAAGAGAGCATGGAGGTTCCAACATATATCAAGAAGAAATGGTCAAAGTCTAGCCAATGTGAAACTCCAACAACAGCCATATTAAGAAAACAAACGTAAATTTGAAGCGAGCGTGAATGTGTATGAATAAACTTGTACCTAAAGATTATGGCAAAAAGGAACGTAAAAGCTGGAATTAAGTTTCCCAATGCAGCTGCTAGAGTCGGAGAGCTGTAGTTGATACCGGCATATGCACATACCTGTAGAAGACAGATCCTGCACAAATAATATACGAAATTAAGAGCCTGTTTGGTTGGTTTTCCATCAAGTCTTGTATGAATAAAGATGTTTGTGTAGATTAACTTGTCTGTATAGATTGGAAAGGTTTTTGTTTGGGAGTGTTTTTTTCATATACAGACGGAGCATGTTTTGTAGTTCGGAAGGACTGCTTCGGAAAATAAAAAACTTGGTATTCTGCATAAAGCTTCCCCATAGAAGCTTACTGAATAAGCCACTTTTTAAATCATTAAGCCACTACCAAACAGTCATATATAGTTAACCGAATAATTGTGAGTTCCATTAAGCTCGTTAAGCTGCTAACAAACATGCCCTAAGGCTATTATTTTGGCGAACTATCTAATAAGGTGGCTGTCAGCTGATAAACTAGTCACGTTTGGAAAAAAAATTAGCTGATAAGCTAGATGACAATGTAAAATGACCTAAAAGGACATGCCAAAAAATTAAATGAAAAAATACGAGGGGCATAATCGGAAAAAAGTACTTAGCGTTTCAAGATGCTAGCTGATACCTAACCAAACAGGACTTGTTCAATAAGCTCAAAAAATAAGCCAATTTTTGGTTGCCAAACATGGCATAAGTAGTTTGAATTAACAAAATACAAAAGAATACCAAGATGCAATTACTTACCCCAAAAGGCCAAGGCCGAAGAGTTTACACAGGACGGATAAAGTGAGCGGGCGTCGATTATTTCTGCAAGAACAGAGTATCACGCAGTTAATACGTTGTGTGTGAGGATTAAATATCCATAAACAAATATAAAAAGATTCATAAATCTTGATGATATTTGACGAACCTGCAATTGTGGATGACGAAATTAGGAAGAAGAAGGACGGTGCCAAGGGCATTATAGTAAACAACATACACAAGATTGCTTAGTCCACTATTCATGGCGGCTTTTCCTAACGTAATCATCCCTACTTCGCCACATTCTACCATCACCATAGCAGCAAACGGCAATGCCTTTTCTATAAAAGACTTCATTGCCCCTCCCCGTCTCTCTTATAGCTTAAACTGTTGCAAGATCAAAAAAATGTAAGTTTTTTTTTTGTAAAAAGCACTGGAATTTAACAATTTCTTTTTTGGTAACTGTGGGTGTCCAAGTCAGCTTGTGCACACCTCGACTAATCTCATAAGGCCCTGAAGATAATTGGCAGGAAAATCCCCAAATCCAATGGCCCCAAGGAGACTCGAACTGCGACCTATGGGAGGAGCCGAAGGCATATCCTTTATTTGGCCGTTGGGCTGGCCCTCAATGTTAGAAATTAAGAAACTTAGACCTATTTGTTAGCAACTTAATTAGCTTAATGAGACATGGGAATGTTTGTTAGTAGCTTAATGAGCTTAATGGGAACTTATTTGGTCAGCTATACATGACTGTTTAGTAGTGGCTTAATGATATAAAATATGACTTCTTCATGAAGCTTGTAGGGGAAACTTTATGCAGAAAGCCAAGTTTTTTCCAAACCTATCCCTCCCAATTAAAAAACATGTTCCTTCCTTCTTTAAAAAAACCCTTCCAAACAAAAACCCTCCCAATCTATAAAGACAGAGTAATCCACACAGACAACTTAATCCATACAAGACTTAATGGAATCACAACCAAACAACCCCTTGCAACTTATTCGGTAAGTTATAATTAACTGTTTGGTAGTGGCTTAATGATCTATAAAGTGGCTTATTCAGTAAGTTTCTAAGGGTAGCTTTATGCGGAAAGCCAAGTTTTATCCAAAACTGCCCCTCCTACTTAAAAAATATGCCCATTCCATCTATGAAAAACTCTCCCAAACAAAAATCTTCCCAATATATACAGACATATTTGTCCATATAGGACTTATTAGAAAATCAACAAACAGCCCCTTGGGTTCGTTTACCAAATACTTAGTGATAAGAATCACCACCCTCACTAACCTTTCTTAGTAAGATTCTAGGCATCAAAATGGCATAGCAAGCAATAATCATGTTTCGGTAAGGTAAGTGATCCCGTAAACGCTTACCCAGTTAGTGTTTTGTCCATTAACCACCGTATGGATTTAAGCTGTCTGTATGAATTAAGCTAAACTGTTGTTTGTTTTTGTGCTAAATAAACCATCTAAATTACATAAATGACCAATTATTTTCAAAGATTCAATGCCACCACATGATTTGTCAACATCCAATACGAAATGACATCTTTGCCCCTATCGTGCAAGTCTTTATCTTCCTAACCAATAACAGTAGTGAATATTTAAAGAATGACAAATCTTATATAATAATACAATTAAAGAAATCCACCAGATCTTTACTCTGATCGAATTTCTTGATTCTCTTTCTATAATTTGCGAATCAAATCATAATTCCAACTTTCAACTCCAATTTCTATCACTAAACCAAAAGCTACAGACCAACATAATATCAAAAAACCCTAATTATATATATACACACACACACACACATATATACACCCCCATGAAATCAATTACTCATTCTTGTTCAAAATCAAGATCGATTCATAAAAATTGCAACATTAATCGACCAACAAACAGAGAGATGGAGAGGAAGAACCTGAACGAGAATCCAGTATCTGAAATGGGGGTTTTAGTAACTTTTTAAGATTATAATTGGGTACCGATGAAATCAAAATCTAGGGTTTTTAAGGTTTAAAAACCTTAAATCTACAAATAATGAGACAAAAAGGGGGTATTTTAATCGACGTCGAAGAGATTTTGAGGGTGGAATGAGAATGAGCCAGTCGGTTCTACAGATGATATGGTACACTGGCTACTGATACCGAAACGGTGATGTTTGGAGTTAAACCCCTGAACTTATACGACTTGTGTTTTACAAACCTTTAACTTATCAAAATGTTACATTTTTAGTACCTCAAATTCTCAATTTGATGTAGGAAAATTATTTATTGAGTAAACTACAAATTTGGTCCCTATGGTTTGTGGAAAAAAACATCTTTCGTCCATATAGTTTCGTGATTACAAGATGAAATCATGGGCGGGACGACCCGTTAGACCCGATCCATCTGGCCCGCTAGAAATATGGGTTTGGACAACCAATATCGAGAAAATAGACGGGTCTAAGGTTGTTCGTTAAAATTAACAAACGGACATGGACAATATAAAAATAAATATTGATAGGTCTGCGGGGCCTGTTTATGTTCTATAATTAACATTTTATTATCATTAATTAAAATTATACTAATATATTTTAAAATTAAATTATTAAAATATATGATGAAAGTTAGGACTCTTTGGTTTTTCTTGATAACCCAAAAGATTCTACATTATCTTTATTAGCATCTTTATATCAAAAGTCTTAATTGATCAACAATGGATCGAGTCAGTAGTTGCTTAAAGTTTTAATTGCAACTGTATTTTTTCTTAGTGGCCGTTAAAAAGTTTCGCTAAATCAAGGTCATTTTTGTCTTTTACACAATCAAAAACGATTTTATGATTTTGGTCCCTGTGATTTTTTAAATTATTTGTTTACAAAGTCAAGCCAACTTTGATTGGTTTATATCAAAAGGACATTTAGTATGTTAAAACGTCGTTTTCCTAATTAAAACCTGTCATTTTACTATGGAAAACGACATGAGCACCAAAAACAAAACGTTTATATATTAAACAGCTTTTATATGAATCAGATAAGACAAAAATCCACATCTGTGTGGGGACCTCGTTGAGGTTAATTTAGACATCATTGGTCCATCGTGATGCTTTAACTAGTGGGAAATAAATAATCGCTCGTACTAAACCTGAATCATATGGTCCATATCAATTTCATGTGAACCAACGACCAATATATAATATACATATCAACAGAGGATATACAGTGTGTCAAGATAATACTGCTAAGCAAATAAAGCACTGAAGAATATAAACAAGGATTTTACGGCCATACAACAATGTATGTCCTCCCAAACGAACCCGAGATGGTGTTTTATATGATAAAAAAAGTAGAGAATATAGTGTACGCTTGCTAAATGATTACAATAATCCAAATAAAAGCAAAAATAACATGTTACAATGAATTTTGAGAGAGAAAGAGATGCACAAGGCCCGAGCGGCCGAGCCTTCCATGCATGCTTTTTAGTCTGTATAAAAAGCCCCGAGTATTTTTAGGCCCGGATTTAGGGTTGAAAGAGGGTCCAATTGGTCCTTTTCAGACAAGGCTTTGGGGTTGAAAGAGGGCCCAATCAGGGTTTTTTCAGGAGGCCTTGCACCTCTCCGGGATTTTTCACTTGAAAAGAAATTGGTTTGCCGGATCAGCTTGGGCCTTGAATTGAACTTAATAAGGCCGAGATTTTTCGGGTCAGGCTTTTTTGTATATTTTTGCTGGTTGGAGTCACTAGCGGAGCTCAGTTGATACCAAATTAGTCGTATGGAATCTATCTATGCAAGCACAACTCGGCAAGCCAGGTCGTCCGGTTCGAATTCGTGAGCCCGCCCCACAACATGCAAGCCATGCTCGCTAAAAGCAAGTTGACACGACTTCAGGTGCGGACAAGCTGATCCAGACTGTGTGTTGTGCAACTTAAAATTATACTTTGGTTTACCGTTTACTTACCCCAAAAACAACAGCAATCATCCCGATTCCGAGCTGCAACGCCCAAGAGCTCGGATTCGGTTCTAGGAAAACTGCTAGAGCTACACATTGAATCGTCCCAAAAAGATAGTAGAAAAATACGAATGTTACTTGATTCGGGTATTCTCTTCTTGTTGTCGTCTGAATATATAAATCAAGAAATTAATCGCTAAAAAACTAATTGTCACTTTTTTTTCTCGACAACCGTCTCTCTGTCCGGTAGGACCCACAGGGGGTTATTTAAATATATAATCTTAAGTATAATATTAATTAAATTCATGACCTACCGACCTATTATAGAAAAAATGGCTTCATAGTTATCAGAAGGTCATTGACTTGTATTAAAATCTGATTTAAGGTTATATACCTAAATAGAGTCCCCTTCTTTTACAAACCCAATAACTCGTACAAACATACAAACAAGTTCTCGTGTGTTGTTTATATATGAAACGTGTGTGAAAATAGTGCTTCTCGAGAGTTGTTTCACATATGAACCGTTCTTGTTTTTTCCCACCCACACAAAACAGTCTTGAACGTTTCACATATGAAACAACATGAACAACACTGCATTTTTACACATGTTGTTTCATATGTGAAACAACACATGAAAACTGGTTAGCAAGTTCATAAAATTTATTGGGTTTGTAAATGATTATGTGCGTCTACCTAAATATACTGACAAGGTTAAGATCTACGCACATCTTAACCTCTCCAAACCCTACCTTCAGATAAGATATATTGGGTCTGCTTGGTTTGGTTTAATCGCTAAAAACTAGTCCAAAGTTTCATGTAATCTCGAGAGGATAAAAATCACTGTACCAAATCACGTGTCTCATTTATGTCCCACCAATGAAATTAAGACACATCAGATTTGTATTTATTTTAGATTTATTTAATTCATCTTTACTTTCTCTTTGGTTATGTGTATTCATATGATTGGTAGACATGAATGAGACATGAAATTTTGGGATAGATGATTTTTGCCCATCTCGGGACATCGATCTTACTTGTAATACGTTCCAAATGGCACCACAAATTCCCGTGATAATAAGAAGCAGACCTCCAAATACCGAATTCGACAGTTGTGATAAAAGAAGCCGATCGGGTGTTTTCGGAGAACGGGTGATCGTTAAGATTTCTGGGCCTTGATACAATGTGAACACCATTGCTCCCGATATTGCTATTATGGTACCCAATAATTTTGCTCGACTGCTTGGACTTTTTACGTCGATTTTCTCCATTCTAGGACACGTATCGAGCGGTCTGAATTCTTCGGAATTTGAAAGGGAAGTAATTTTGAAGAAATATGGAGACTAGGGGTGTAAATGAGCCAAGCCGAGCCGAGCAGTAGGTTATTCGAGTTCGGCTTGGAAAAATAATACCAAGCTTGAGCTTGAATAACTTTTTTAAAGTACGGCTCGAGCTCGAACTTGATGCTCGTTCATGGGTTCACTCATGATCGATTAACACGTTTATTGAATCGAGCTCAATAATTTTGTTGTATGATCTATGAACATATGAACATTTTTTGCTCGAAAAAGTGTGTGCACGAAAGACTGGCCTCGAGTCGACTAGAAAAAGTTAATCTAGCTTTCAAACGAGTCGAGTAAAAATAGGTGTTATGAAGCTCGACTAGGTAAGTTAAACGAGTTTAACTTGTGTTCGAGATTCCAGCTCAAGTAGCTCGTTAAAAGCTCAAATCATTAACACCCCTAAAGAGATTACCTCAAAACTACCACAAGCAAGAATGTGTTTACGGGAGTCAAGTTCCGATAGCACTTGCCAATGGTCGGAGAGCTGTAGGAAACACCTACGTACTCGAGTACCTGAAGAAGACAAAAGTCTACAAAGAACCCGATGTATGCAAAGTTTGTTAAAATTGATAACGTTTTAACATCTCTTTACAGCAAAATCGGCTGTTTAAATATACTAATAGACTGCTTTACAGGACTAAAGTTTATTGGATTGTGCGTAGAGCAGACCTTGCCTATACCCCAAGGGGTAAAGAGGTTTGCAAAACAATATAAACAAACATAGATGGAGGGTCACAAACCTGAAGATATGAACGATGAAAAACGGAAGAAGAATCAATGTTCCAAGAGCATTATCGTAACACGCTCATTCATCGCTGCTTTGACCATTGTCAACACGTTCATATCCAAGCATGTTATCATCATCATAACTATAAACCGCAGCACGTCCTCCATCGATGACCCTGTATTACTTGTCACGATCATACGTTCTTTTCCTCGGTCACAATGGGAGGAGAAAGAAGAAGAAAGTCAGTAGCAATACCGCCACAGACTGCACATTCGTCTGAATATTATCTCCAAATCGTTGATCTTTTTCACCATCCATCGCATTTCCGACCTATTGTGTAAATAAAATATAGAACACATGCGACCAACATGTAATATCACATGATAATAAACAAATATGCAAGGGGCTGTTTGTCAGTTGCTGAATGGTTTGGTACAGAATGATTAAGAGGCTTTTATGATATAGTGCAAAATGAAATGTAGATATTTACAATGAAATTAGGACGCTTAATGGTTAAGGGAGGCCAAAGATACAAAATCATTCAGAGGGTTTTAGAACCACTAAGAGGCAGACATTTTTTTTGCCAAACAAGATTCACCTCTTAATGATTCAGAGGCTGCCTTTTAATGGAACTATTAAGAGGTAAACAAACAACCCCTTATAATAAACAAATAATAAGCATTACTATGATACCAATGTGTAACATCATTCATCATATAACAAACAAAAGCAATTTGGCTTTTCTTAATGACTAAAAGAATCAACTCACCTACTGCAAGGATATATATTGTTATTTAAAAGAAACTCCATTTGTCACCCAAAAAGGCCAATGAATGAGATTGGGTTTCACAGTCGAAAGAAATGTTGCGGACTTCTTAATTCAAACTTTGAGCTTTCCAAATTTAAAAACGACATGGTTACCATTTCTATGCAAGCCATTGATGCATTTGCACCTTAATTGATGCTCGAGTTCATAGATATCAACATTTTGATTCATTCCAGGAAGAAAGAAGAGGAGTGTTTTGGTTCGATGATTCAGGTCCATCTGCAACGTTCAAATCCTCCTCCATCTCCATCGGTAACTTGTTATTCTCTTTGGCGTGTCCCCACATCACAGTATAAAATCCGGCAGCAACGATGGCAGCTCCAATGGCACTGCATACAGGAATTCAAGATTCAAGAACAAATCATCAATCAATCGCTTTCTTTTAATGATGATCAACAAACCCAAATGAGATGAGATGAGTATGAACTATGAAGCATGTCCCAAGATTCAAGTTTTGATTTTTGTGACGAAAAGATTAATCATTTACCTTCCTAAATAAAGTGAATCGCCAAGAAATGTGACACCCATGATGACTGCAATAACTATCGAGAGAGGTGAGAACATGGCCACAAAAACTGGACCTTTCTTCTCCAAGCACCAAGTCGCAGCAACACCACGAATAGCAACGGAGTATACCGCCTTCAAATAGAGCAAGTTAATATACCAACACCAAAGTGCGTCGCCCACGGCCCAACTTGAAAAAGTACTCCCTCCATCCCAAAACAAGTGTCTACGTTTCTATTTTAGTTTGTTCCAAAATAATAGTTGTCCGCCTTCAAAAGTACACTTTCCAATGATACCCTTAATTATGAGATGGATAAATTCATTACTCCCTCTATTACCAGGGGTAAAATTGTCATTTAGTTCACTATAAAAGTGTAATGATTACAAATTCTAAAACCATGCCTTCCCATTGTGGACATTTATTCTGTGACAAAGGGAGTAGTGTAGTTTACTCAACTTACCCCCCAAACAACAGCAATCATCTTAATTCCGGGCTGCAGCACCCAAGCACTCAGATTTGGTTCTAGGAAAAGAGATAGAGGTATACATGAAATCGTCCCAAAGAGGCAAAAGAAAAAGACGATGGTGAGTCGATCTGGGTACTCTCTGGCTGTTGCTGTCTGGATAAAAAAATCAAGAAATTAATTGCTTAAAATGAGTCCAGGTTTCATGTAGTCGGGCAATATCTAACCTGTAAAACATTCCATGAGGCACCACAGATTCCAGAGATAACAAGAATCAGACCTCCATATACCCAATTCGAAGGTTGTGATAAAAGAAGCTGATTGGGTGTTTCAGGAGAAAGAATCGTCTTAAGGATTTCTGGGCCCTGATACAATGCGAACACCATTGCTCCTGAGATTGCTATTATGGTACCTATTAATTTTGCTTGACTGCTTGAACTTCTTATGTCTACTTTCTCCATCCTAGAACACATATAGAATAGTTTGAAACCTTTAGAAGGAAGTAACTTTAAGAAAAAGAATGGTTATGAACTTATGATTGAAACAAAGCGATTTCTGGTCCTTGGATTACCTGAAAATGACCGCAATCAAGAATGTGATCGCAGGAGACAAGTTCCCGATGGCACTGGCCATGGTTGGAGAGCTGTAGTTGATGCCTACATATAAAAATACCTGACACAGACAGATCCTGCAAATAACCCATGTATGCAAATTGCAAGATTTGTTAAAATTAGAAACTTTGCAACATCTGAAATGTGATCAAGGGCTGAATTGCTTACCATAAAAGGCCAAGAATGAAGAACCTTAAAAGAAGATGGAAACTGAGCGAAGGACGCGAAACGTTTCTATACAAGAAAAAGTATCATGATTGGTATTTTCTTGATGTCATAAAAAAGAAACAAACATACATGAAAAACCAAACGAACCCAGAATATCCCTCACAGAGGTTGGGTTGGGTTGCCCAGGGGGGAGGGGAGGATGTAAGCAAACCTTGCCTCTACCACAAAGGATAGAGAGGGTTGTTTCCGTTAAGACCCCTGACATACAAAAAAAAGGATACAAACTTACATGGAGGGTCACAAACCTGAAGATATGGACGAGGAGAAATGGAAGAAGAACCAATGTTCCAAGGGCATTATGGTAAACGATATAGACAATACTGTCCATACCCTCGTTCATCGCTGCTTTGACTATTGTCATCACACTCATATCTAAGCACATCATGATCATCATAACCACAAAGGGCAGCACGTCCTCCATCCATGACCATGTCTTACTTGCCATTGCCATATCTTTTCCTCAGTCACAATTGGAGAGAAGAAAGGGAAAGTAAGTAGCAATTCCGTCACAGACTCCATGTTCATCTAAATGTCATCTCCACATCATGTGCTTTCATCATCGAAAGCCATAATAATGAAATTTGCAACCAACTTTTTAACATCACATGATAATAAACAAATAATAAGCATTATTTTGATAACAATGTCTGTCATTACATAATAAACAAAAGCAATTTGGCTTTTCTTAATGGCTAAAAGCACCTACTGCAATTATTGATATTACTATATTAGTTAAAAGAAACCCCACTCTTTGCCTAAAATTCAACTATTATAATTTGTATGGAACTTAAGGATATTTTTTGAATAATTTTGTACATGATTCATGATAATATTAACAAACTGGACTTCATTCAATATTTAGAAAAGAGGAATTATAATGAAACATAAACATCATCTTAATGATAATTTTGAGATGACGAAAAATTGTAGGACTGACCTTTTTTGGAGAAAGAAAGTGTTTAACTCTTGAAGATGGTCTGAATAGAAGCACGAGAGTTAAACACTTTCTTTTACCCTAAAAGGCCAAGAATGAAAAATCTTGAAAGAAGATGGAAACTGAGCGAAGGAAGCGAATCGTTACTGTACAAGAAAAAGTCTCATGATTGGTATTTTCTTGATGTCATAACAGAAGAAACAGACATAGACAAAAACCAAACCAAATTAACCCGGAATATCCCACACAGAGGTGGGGTCAGGGGAGGGTAATATATAGGCAAACCTTGCCTCTACCACAAGGGGTAGAGAGGCTGGCTGTCTCCATGAAGACCCCTGACTTGCAAAACAAACATAGATGGAGGGTCACAAACCTGAGGATATGGACGATGAAAGGAAGAATAATCAATGTTCCAAGAGCATCATGGTAAACAATATAGACCATACTGTCCATACCCTCATTCATCGCTGCTTTGACTATTGTCAGAATGCACATATCTAAGCATGCTATCATCATCATAACCACAAAGGGCAGCACGTCCTCCATCCATGACCATGTGTTACTTGCCGTTGCCATCCTTTGCCTCGGTCACAATGGGGAAAGGAAGAAGGGGAAAGTAAGTAGCATTCCGTCACAGACTCTACGTTCATCTAAATATCATCTCTAAATCGTGTAATTTTCATGGCTAGATATATTATTGATGACTTGCACCCAACAAGTTGATATGACATGATAAGTAAACCTCAAGGGTCGTTCCCAATTGGTTTGAGCTTGGGCTCCAAAAGTCAAAAGTGTCTGGAGGTCCAGGTTCAAATCCAAGGAGGAATAAAAATCCCCTTGTGGCCACGGAGGTTCAAATGAGGTGACTCCGGGCTACCCGCGAAGCATGTGGTTGCCCTGAGATTAGTCGGCTGACATAACGGGTTGGATATCCAGGTTAATAATAAAAACAAATAATAAGCATTATTTTGATACCAATGTGTATCATCACGTAATAAACAAAAGATATTTTGCTATTCTTAAGGGCTAAAAGCATTGACTCACCTACGATGATGGATATTGGTTAGAAAAAACTCCATTCGTACCCTAAAAGTCAACTCATAATTTATAAGGAACTCGTGAATATTTTTTGAATAATTTTATACATGATTCATAATAAGATTAACAAACTGGGTTCTTCCTTCAATATCGAGGAAGGGGAAATTATTAAGAAACATCAACTTCATCTTAATGTTAATTTTGACCTTTGAGACGAGCATTTTAGACGAGGAAAAATTGTAGGATTGACCTCTTTTTTGGAGAAAGAAAGTGTTTAACTCTTGAAGATGGTCTGAATAGAAGCACGAGAGTTTAGAGGTACCTCCTGAAACTAGAACTACAAGTTCACATAGCATGATGAAAATGAAAACCTGAAAATCCAGCGATTATAAAAGCACAAAGATCACCATATATGAATTAAGTAGTCAAAGGTTTCGAGAGAGTGAGAACTGGAAACTTATAATATATGCATTTTCAAAACTAACAGCAAATACCTTTCTGCCTCAAGTTCTTATGAAATAACTTCAGCAAGAAAGCAGAATGGAGACGAAAACATATATATATATATATATATATATATATCAGATGGATTTAGACCAATTACAGATAACTTCACTATATAAGAGCAACTCCAACCCTAGCACCAAAAAGAGCGGCAAATTGGTGGGACATAGACACCAAAAATCGCCTCTACCATTTAAATTGTCCATGGATATGCAAAATACTGATCGGCAAGGGAAGACAACAGCAATACCCGTCTTTATTGATTGAACATATTGTATTCGTAAATTGACACCAACATCGACACGGTCACTATTTCTATGCAAGCCATTGGTGCAAATGCACCTTAATCGATGCACGAGTTCATAGATATTAACATTTTGATTCGTTCATGGAAGAAAGAAGAGGAGTTTTTTGGTTTGATGATCCAGATTCATCTGCAATGTCCAAATCCTCCTCCCTCCCCGTCGGTAACTTGTTCTTCTCTTTGGCATGTCCCCACATCACAGTATAAAATCCGGCAGCAACAATGGCAGCTCCAATGGCACTGCATACAGGAATTCAAGAACAAACCATCAACCAATCGCTTTATTTCAACAATGATTCAAACCCGAATGAGATAAGATGAGTATGAAGCATGTCCCAATATTCAAATTTTGATTTGTGACACAAAGATTAATCATTTACCTTCCTAAATAAAGTGAATCACCAAGAAATGTAACACCCATGATGACTGCGATAACTATCGAGAGGGGTGAGAACATGGCCACAAAAACTGGACCTTTCTTCCGCAAGCACCAAGTCACAGCATTACTACGGAACACAATGGAAAATACCGCCTTCAAATAGAACAAGTTAATATACGAACACCAAAGTGTGTCACCTAACTTGAAGAAGTACTCCATCTGTACCAAAATAAGCGTCCCCGTTTCTATTTTAGTTTGTCCCAAAATAAGTGTCCATCTTCAAAAGTCTACTTTCCAATTATACCCTTAATCAAGAGACGGAGAAATTCATTATGCCCTCTATTACCAAGGTAAAATTGTCATTTAGTTAATTAAAAAATGTAATAATTACACATTCTAAAACTGTGTCTTTTTTAATGTGGACATTTATTTTGCGACAACGGGACTACGGGAGTAGTTTACTTTACTCAACTTACCCCCCAAACAACAGCAATTATCTTAATTCCGGGCTGCAGCACCCAAGCACTAGGATTTTGTTCTAGGACAAGAGATAGAGCTATAGATTGAATAGTCCCAAAAAGGCAAAAGAAAAAGACGACGGTGAGTTCATCTGGGTACTCTCTGGCTGTTGCTGTCTGGATGCAAAAATCAAGAAATTAATTGCTTAAAATGAGTCCAGGTTTCATGTAATCAGAGGATCTCTAACCTGTAAAACATTCCATGAGGAACCACATATTACAGCGATAACAATAATTAGACCTCCAAATACCCAATTCGAAGGTTGTGATAAAAGAAGCTGATTGGGTGTTTCAGGAGAAAGAATCGTCTTAATGATTTCTGGGCCCTGATACAATGTGAACACCGTTGCTCCTGAGATTGCTATTATGGTACCTATTAATTTTGCTCAACTGCTTGAACTTCTTATGTCTACTTTCTCCATCCTAGAACACATACAGAATAGTTTGAAACCTTTAGAAGGAAGTAATTTTATGAAAAAGAATGGTTATGATTGAAACGAAGCAATTTTCTGGTCCTTGGACTACCTGAAAATAACTGCAATCAAGAATGTGATGGCAGGCATCAAGTTCGAGATGGCACTGGCCATGGTTGGAGAACTGTAGTTAACGCCTGCATATAAAAGTACCTGAAAGAGAGAAATTCTGCAAATAACCCATGTATGCAAATTGCAAGGTTGTTAAAATAAGAAACTTTGTAACATCTCAAATGTAACCTAGGGCTGAATTGCTTACCCTAAAAGGCCAAGAATGAAGAATCTTGAAAGAAGATGGAAACTTAGAGAAGGAAGCGAACCGTTCCTATACAAGGATAAAGTCTCATGATTGGTATTTTCTTGATGTCATAACAAAAGAAACAAACATAGATGAAAACCAAACCAAATTAACCCGGAATATCCCACACAGAGGTAGGATCAGGGGAGGGTATTATATACGCAGACCTTGCCTCTACTACAAGGGATAGAGAGGTTGTTTCCATGAATACCCTGACTTGCAAAACAAACATAGATGGAGGGTCACAAACCTGAGGATACGGACGATGAAAAATGGAAGAATAATCAATGTTCCAAGAGCATCATGGTAAACAATATAGACAATACTTTCCATACCCTCATTCATCGCTGCTTTGACTATTGTCAGAATGCTCATATCTAAGCATATAATCGTCATCATAACCACAAAGGGCAGTACGTCCTCCATCCATGACCATGTGTTACTTGCCATTGTCGTACCTTTTCCTCGGTCACAATGGGGAGAGAAAGAAGGGGAAAGTAAGTAGCGATTCCGTCACAGACTCCATGTTCATCTAAATATCATCTCCAAATCGTGTAATTCTCATGGCTAGATATATTATTGATGACTTGCAACCAACAAGTTGACATGACATGATAATAAACAAATAATAAGCATTATTTTGATACCAATGTGTATCATCACATAATAAATAAATGATATTTTGCTCTTCTTAATGGCTAAAAGCATTGACTCACCTGCAATGATGGATATTGGTTAGAAAAAACTCCATTCTTGACCTAAAGTCAACTCATAATTTATATGGATATTTTTTGAATAATTTTATACATGRTTCATAATAAGATTAACAAACTGGGTTCTTCCTTCAATATCGAGGAAGGGGAAATTATTAAGAAACATCAACTTCATCTTAATGTTAATTTTGACCTTTGAGACGAGCATTTTAGACGAGGAAAAATTGTAGGATTGACCTSTTTTTTGGAGAAAGAAAGTGTTTAACTCTTGAAGACGGTCTGAATAGAAGCACGAGAGTTTAGAGGTACCTCCTTTCAATATATCTTCCACATGAATCAAAATAAAAGAAATAGTAACGATTTACAACATACAAAACTAGA